TTGCAGCCCTTGAAGGGGGCACCGGCCCCGGGCGCGCAGCCCTTGGAGGGGGCACCAGCCCCGGGCGCGTGGCTATGGGGGGGCCCTGCCCCCGGGCGCACGGCTATGGGGGAGCCCCACCCCCGGGCACACAAATGTCCCCACCCCCTGGCCACGCCCGCTGGTGCCCGGCAACCTCAAATGGTTGGGGACTACTGATCTAGTCCATGGGGCTCAGGTCTCACTCTCCCTGCAGGGGTGCAAGCAGGCACTGATTCTCCAGCCTCACATGCGGGAACACCAAAGCTGCAGCAACAGCACTGGCTCCAAAATGTGGAGGGGATGAGCCATGAGGCAAGCTGGGACTTGACCTGGCCTTTGGGCTATGCCTGGCAGGGGGGAGGAAGTGTTCCACCATTGCTCCCAGTGGCTGGGAATCAGCCAGTCCCTTACCCAAACTCCCTTTTTCACTCAACGTCCATGTCAGACTCTGCACTTCCTTCATTAATATAATAGAAGAATGCAGCCCTTGATCACTTAACAAATTCTTGGAATGCCCCCCAACAAAAATTATTGCCCATCTCTGCTTTAAATCACAATCCTCTTTTTGTGGACATCATGGCTACATCTAGACTGGCATGATTTTCCGCAAATGCTTTTAACAGAAAAGTTTTTCCGTTAAAAGCATTTGCGGAAAAGAGCATCTAGATTGGCATGGATGCTTTTCCGCAAAAGTACTTTTTGCGGAAAAGCATCTGTACCAATCTAGACGCGGTTTTGTGCAAGAAAGCCCCGATCACCATTTTTGCCATCAGGGCTTTTTTGCACAAAACAGTTTTTAGCTGTCTACACTGGCCCTCTTGCGCAAAAACATTTCTGGAAAAGGGCTTTTGCCCGAACGGGAACGTCAAAGCATTTGCGCAAGAAGCACTGATTTCGGACAGTAGAACGTCAGTGCTTTTGTGCAAAGTCAAGCAGCCCGTGTAGACAGTTGGCAAGTTTTTGCACAAAAGCGGGTGTTTTTGCAGAAAAACTTGCTAGTCTAGACACAGCCCATAATTGGTAGCTGTAGGAAAAACGTATGATGTAACAGATCATGATCACGATCATGATTATTAGAGGTTTGCTTATAATAACAATTGATCAAATTATTTTAAATGTGTTCTACATATCATGTAAATCATACAGACTATGTTAATATTTTGTTGCATAAAACACAAATATTTAATATTGTTAATTTATTATGAAAATTGATACTTATTATACACATCAGATTCTATTAATATTAGATAAACTTTAATAGTGTATTATTTTATAGCAACATTTTTATTAATGAATATTCATCTTTAAAATGCTTTAGTATCAAATATTCATAAAAGTAGTCCCAAATAAATCACCAAACAGTAATACAATATTAATGTGGAAAAACCTAGAAACAGTAAACATAAACTATCTATATTAAATTTAAAAAACAGTTCAACAATTTTCAGACAAAGTGAGTTGTGATACTATAGTCCAATTATATATTTGGCTTCAGTGTTAGTAAATTATTTCAGATATGGGTGAAGCTTTTTGGGCTTAGCTTTTCTGGACAGCCCAATCCTGATAGGGCCACTGCATGTTTTAAGAGGCTGCAGTCTTATAATTTCATGTGACAAAAAGTTTCCTAAATATATAAACAAAAGAGAAGAAATCAATGATGAAAGCAAAACCATATTTTTGTAACATGTACATATAAATCACATTTCTTTAAGACATAGAAATCAATCATGGGTACCATACTTGACACTCAACAGTCAGGGTATGTCTACACTGCAGAGTTTTTTCAGAAAAATGGCCATTTTTCCAAAAAAACTTCACTTATGTTCACACTGCAATTGAGTTCTTTCAAAAAAAATCGAAAAAACAGAGGGGTTTTTCTGACATTGGTAAACCTCTTTCTATGAGGAAGAAACCTATTTCTGAAAGAGCTCTTTTGGAAAAAGGCGTGTGTGGATGCAGGAGAGGGAGTACTTTCGAAAGAAGAGGAAAGAGCACAGGTGCCTTGGTGGCCACTCCATCCACAGTAATCACAGCTTAATTGTGAGATAATGTCTATTCAGTGTGGATGCTATCTTTCGAAAAAGCAGATTGCTTTTTCAATGCACTTCTGCTGTGTAGATGCTTTTTTTCGGAAGAAGTTTTTTCAGAAGAGCTTTTCCAGAAGAGCTTCTTCCGAAAGAAGCCTGCAGTCTAGACATAGCCTAAATACTATAGAGATGGATACTATAGAAGATACATAGACAAAAATGTATATATAGTTTTGTCTGTACCCATAATTTGGACCAATTTATCTAATATATAAAGGAGAATGTTTGTATGTTATTAAGGACTTCCACAATACTGGAAACAAAGGGCAAATACAGTAGAGAAAATGCTCCTTCCTCTTTCTGCATCTCACCCCACTCAGCATCTTTGAGGTTTTTAGCCACTACATATAGAATAGGAGGTTATGATATGCCTGCATGTTCTAAACTCAAAGATAATGTGTAAATGACAGGATATCCCCATGCTAACCAACAATTAATACAGGCAGTCCCCGGGTTACGTACAAGATAGGGACTGTAGGTTTGTTCTTAAGTTGAATCTGTATGTAAGTCGGAACTGGCATCCAGATTCAGCCTCTGCTGAAACAGATCAGTTTCAACAGCGGCTGAATCTGGACGCCAGTTCTGACTTACATACAGATTCAACTTAAGAACCCCAGGCATCCCCACGTCAGCTGCTGCTGAAACTGATCAGCGGCTGATTCGAGGAAGCCCGGGGCAGGGGCTTCCTGTAGTCAGCCACTGGTCAGTTTCAGCAGCGGCTGACTAGGGGACACCTGGGGCAGAGCAGCTGGGGTGCTGCTGGGTTGGTCCAGTGGCACCCAGAGTGGCGCTACGGGACCAACCGGCAGCGCCCCAGCTGCTGTACCACAGGCGTCCGGAGCAAAGCCGCGGAGCACCGGGGCAGCCCAGACGCACCGTGGCTGTCCTGCTGCCCTTGGGCTCCGCGGCTTTGCTCTGCTTTGCTCCCCGTCTCCCTGGTCTGCAGACCAGGGGGACGGGGAGCAAAGCG